CACCCATTTTCAGGCACATCTTCCACAACGGTAAGCCAGCTTCCCTTTCCCCTGTCTGCTGACGCTTGCTTTGCTTGTCAGCGGAGCACCACTAGGGCTGCTGGGGAGAACATTTTCTCAGGCAGGGGCGGGGAACCTTTTGTGGGTCGGGGGCCACTGACCCACAGAAAAACCAGTCGGGGGCCGCACACAAGTGAGAAGCGGGAAAAAACCCTCCCTGTGGCCCCTGAGTGAGAAGCAGAAAGACAGGCCCCACACACCAGAGCCTAGAGGGACCCAAGCTAGTAGATTCTGTGCGCCAGCGCAGGCTCCCCAGTGCTGGCGGGGGGGCTGAGCCACAAGGGCCGGATCCAGGCAAGCTGAGGGCCGCATCCGGCCCCCAGCCTGAGGTTCCCCACCCCGGCTCTAAGGCCATATCTACACTAGGAAATTATTTTGAAATTACAAACTTCAGCTAAAGAACTGATTTAACAAATTCGAATTTGTGTGTCCCCGCTATGGGGCAGCGTCGAATGCCGTCCAAGGCAGGCTCTGTGAATGCGGACGCGCTACCTCGGCCTCAGAGCCCCAGGATGCATTCTGAGGAGCTGCGGGAGGCCTCCCGAGGCCAATTAGTTCAAATTAGCGGCACCGGAGCATCCACACTAATGTGATTTTGGACTCATAGGACACTAGAACTGGAAGGGACCTCGAGAGGGCATCAAATCCAGTCCCCTGCCTTCACGGCAGGACCAAGCACCATCTAGAGTAGACCATCCCTGACAGGTGTCTGTCTGACCTACTCTTAAATATCCCCCGTGATAGAGATGCCACAACATCCCTAGGCAATGTATTCCAGTGCTTAACCACCCTGACAGGAAGATTTTCCTAATATCCAACCTAAACCTCCCCTGCTGCAATTTAATTGCTCCATGTCCTATCATCACAGGTCCAGGAGAATAATTTTTCTCCCTCCTCCTTGTAACAATCTTTTAGACACTTGAAAACTGTTACCCTGTTCCCTCTCAGTCTTCTCTTTTCTAAGTCTTTCCGTCTTGCCTCCTAGCTCCTGTTTTCTAGACCACTAATCATTTTTGTCATTCTTCTTTGGACCTTCTCCAATTTCTCCACCTCTTTCTTGAAATGTGGTGCCCAGAACTGGACATAACACTCCAGCTAAGGCCTAATCAGCGCAGAGCAGAGCGGAAGAATGACGTCTCGTGTCTTGCTCACCACCCTCCTGTTCACGCCTCCCAGAATCACGTTTGCTTTTTATTTTTTGTAACAGCGTCTGGTAGGTTTTTGCTGCTGCTCACGGCCACCTGGGAGGCCGCCCCATCTCTTCGCTGATATTTGCATCTGTGGAGGCGTTCTGCGTCCTTCTGCGCTTGCCACTCCCAGCTCAGACTCGGGGGGAGTGAATGTTTCCAGACAAGAAATTAAGGTCAAGTCTTGTTCCTAAAGCACTGGCTCCGGAGCCAAGAAATCTGGGTGTTATTGCTGCCTCTGCTCCTGACCCATTGTGTGCTTGTGGGAATGTCACTTCTACCAGTCACATTTTTGCACACGTTTGCTGCTGGGGGGAGGGGGAGGTCAGGAGTTCTTGGCTGTTCAGTCTGAGAAGCCCTGGACCTGCTGATCTGCAGCAGTTCTTGCAGGTCTTCAGCACACTCTTGCTCCATTTTTATCTATAGCCCATGGGCCATATGCTGCTCTCTGTTACACCCCCAAAGAGCTCAGGCATGTGACCGGGCAGGAGCTACAAACGGATTCTGCCGTCAGATCTTTCAAGCCACCAAATGCTGCCAGTCTCGTAAGTGGGCACTTGCGACCAGCTTCGCTGTAGATCAGTATTAGGGGTTTTTACGCCTCCTGGTGTTCAGAGACCTCATTGGCTCATCGAGGTGACTTGCGGGAACGCCACGCAGCCCTCTCGCCTGGATTTCATGAGGATAAAGCAAGAACGTATCTGGGGCAAAATCATTTCGCAGGAAGCCGGACAGAGGCTGACTCTCCGCAGATGCTCTGCGAGGTTAGAGAAGTGCAGGTGTGAGTGAGAACTCCTGGCTGTGGTCACATTTCTCCTACTAACACTCTCTGAGCCTCAGTTTCCCCCTCTGTAGAAGGAATATAATACCTCCCTTCAGGGCCTCCCCAAGGAGGGACCTGGGTCCTGGGGCAATTCCCCCTCCTGCTGCAGTTATTTTGGAGTAAGCTATTCTGGAATAGTTATTCCGAAATAGCTTATTTTGAAATAGCACATCTACACTGCAGAGAAGCCTCAGAATGAGTCCGAGGCAGGCTCCCCTAATGTAGACGTGCTATCTCGATTTAGAGCCCCAGAAGGAATAACTTAGAATGGCCCTGGTGAGGGGCTATTTCGCAATAGCAGCAGTGGAGCGTCTACACATGCCTTATTTCGAAACAGCTATTTCGGAAGAGGCGTGATTCCTCGTAGAATGTGGTTTACAGAAGTCGGAAGAAGCTGCCCGTTATTTCGAAATTATATCGAAATAACGGAATGTCTGTGTTGATGCTCACATAGTTATTTCAGAATAACGGCTGTTATTCCGAAATAGCTTTGCGGTGTAGACACTCCCTCAGTGCCCTACAGGCAGG